ATTTCTCGGAGGCATGCAAGCAGTGGCCAATAAATTACTGCAAGCATCCATGCACTCTTCCTTGAAAGATTCTGGGATGGCTACCAGCAAGTTTCAGTGCACCAGACAGGGAGTGCAGGCATCACAAATGCTGAATGCTTGCTCATTCATGGCAAATTTGAATATTCTAAGTACATGGAATACCTTCTTAAATAGCTGTAATTTAAAGTATTCCCTGGGCTTAAAAACCAGAATATTTTCCCCACTCTTCTTCAGTTAGGAACCAAGTTGCCTGTTGCATGCAAACTGCACACATTCCTTCATTTCACAATATAATTCAGATCTACATTCCTACCTTCCCTGTCTGTGACAAATGAGATTTTCCCTCGCATGTTATGTGATGCAATTGTTGGTCACTGCAGTGAAAGATTCTCTTATTAAACCCTTTTTTAAAATGCTAGTGAAACTTACAGCATGTTATTTATCACTGGAATAAGCTGCTCTTTTCCATTGATTTCAGTGAAGCAGTGTCCAATAGTTTGGCCTGCTTTTGCTACTTGACCTGTACCACAGCTGGTAATTGGTTTGCCAGTCCATAATAGGCCTATATATTTTGCTCTTTGTTCCATGAAAACAGTTATAATCCTACTGAAATCTTGATCTTTTGTTCCTCTAAAATGATAGCTGCTGTATTGAGGAGATTTGTCTTGATGCTGTGATTCTGCAGTAAATGCAAATTGCAAGATCTGATCTTAGATCTTCTTAGCTCCCATGAGAAGGATTTAGATAGCTCTCAAATTTCCAGGTATATTTAACAAATTGCTTATTGTGATATCATTAAGCATGTGCAGTGGAACAGTCAAAAGCATCAGCCATATGTGTTGAAGTCTAAAAGCTACAGGGTTTGGTCAAAATTTTGTATGGAGAAGAATGATTTCATCAGTGTCAGAGCATTTAGATGATTTAACCAGCAGAAGATGAGACTGGGAAATTATATTTCATTTGTTATTGCCATATAATTGTAAGAATATCATTATCTTGGTAATCCAAATATTCTTTGTTACATTGTTGAGATTATAGAATCACAGAATGGTTTGGACTGGAAGGGACTTAGAGATCATCCAGTTCCAGTGCCCTTGCTATGGACAGAGACTCCTTGCACCAGACCAGGTTGCTCAAAACCCATCCAACTTAGAACACTGCTGGGAATGGGGCATCCACAAGCTCTCTGGATAACCTTTTCCAGTGTCTCACCAGCCTCACAGTAATGAATTTCTTCCTAATATCTAATCTAAACCTATTTTTTTTTTTGTATGAAGCAATATCCCCTTGTCCTATCACTACTTGCCCTTCTAAAAAGTCCCTCTCCAGCTTATTTGTGAATTTTCCAACTCAAGTTTCAGCCACACCATAGCTTCAGTCAGATACAGCACTGCTCTGAATGTCTTTGATGGCTTTTACAGTGCCTCTAGTTTACCTGCAGATCTTTAGCAGTATTGACCCCAGCGTTACCCTGTGGGGAACACAAATATTAACCAGCTACCAGATGTACTTGGAATTGCTGACTACTTTCATCAAGTTTCAAATATTCCAGTTATCTACTGAATTTGTAGTCCACCTTTTCCATTATATCTCAGAAATCTGGCTGCAAGGATGATGCTATGCATCTCTTTCAAAAATCAGCAGATGCCTCTGCTGCTTTCACCTCATCCAGCAAGACAGATGTCTCATCAGAGCCAGTTCTGAGATTGATCTCATTAAATCTATTCTGGATGTTCCCAGTCACCCCCTTGTCTGTCATATGCCTGGGCATTGCTTCCAAGAAGGATTTGCCCCTTAATTTCATCGTAGGCTGACCAGTCTGCAGCTACCTGAATCCTCCTTGCCTTGCCTTGTAGATGGCTTTGACATGTGGTATAGGAATACCATGGCAAGGTGGTTGCCATCTCTTACACCTTAGCTCTGCTCTGTGACTGATGCATGAAGAAGTGTAGAATGATCAGATGTGATTTTGAAGCAGATAAAGTGTTAAAAGCAACCCTAACAGACCAACTGTCTTATTAAAATTAATCAGTGACCAGCAGCAGAGATTTTCTTTTCAATCTTTAAGGCCTCCTTTTTCAGAATAAAACTTGGCATTAGCTGTCTTCTCTGATTTCAGTGCCTACCTCTGATTAAGATCATAGAATCACAAAATATTTTGATGAATGCTTCAAGGTAAACACATGCCATAAAGCTATGTGAAACGAGGATGGATTTAATCAGAGGATTTAAGGGAAGGAAGGGGCAAACTTTGGGTCCCAAGTATCCAGTTTAGTGCTCCAGTGCATCCCTTTTATGCTTGCCTTACTTTTAAGCTGTCTGATGCAGACATTCTGCAATAGTGCTTGGGAATTATTTGCATCCAGTCTAAAGAACCTTTTAGTTCTAGTTTTAAATTAAGGACTCCAGTGGTTTCAGTCCTTGATAAGTAAAGCAGCTGGATTTCACACCAATCACACCAAGGCTCGGTTACATTTTAGTCACAGCAGTGAAGTGATGCATGAAACTGACTGTACTGTAAAATCTCATTCTTATATGGATGAGGAAATGGACTAGCTCCAGACAGTAAAACAATCCAAAGACAGGAAAAAATGCATATTAAAGCTTTCAGCAGAGAGAGTTCTTTAGAATAAAATGTGCTCTTTTGTTGGGGGGCAATAAACTGTGGTCTAGAGCTTAGGATTTAATTAGGCAATGGGAACTGTTCTTGTGTGTCAGTGTGGTGCTACCAGAGTACAGGATACATTGTTCTGAGTACTCTGCATGCTCACCTTATTCCCACCAAGCACTGCAGTTCTGTAGAGCAGAGTAAAAAAAGAGTGCAGGTGTTTACTTCCAAATTAATTTTAATGGAGGATGACTTGTGTGTCTCTTAAATTGTTTATTTAGGCTTTTCTTCTCTCCTTGAGATTACTCATTTTCATTTGCAACATCACTAAAATAAGACCTTCCTGTTTTTCTGAGTATCTCATAGATATTCCCCTGAATTGCTGCAGTGTCAGTGTGGATGATCCAGGCCTTCCCCTCAAGCAATCTCATTAGTGATGAAGGCAGCAAATTTTCAGCCCTCTTCTTCCTTTAGTAGATTTTTCTGTCACATCAGTTGGCTGAAGTGAATAGGAGCCAGCTAGTGCTTTCCTTTACCAGTTAGCAAAGCTGATGGCAAAGGTCCTGGTGAGAATGTTTAGAGGTGTGGGAAACACTTCCTTGTGGAAATAATTAGCCTGAAAGCCTGCAGTGAGAATACGTGGCTTTGAAGAATGACAGTGGAGAAGAAAATATAATCTGTTAAAACAAAGAAATCAATATACCCTGGACTTGCCAGTCCTGGCTGAGGACACTCACAGTGTATTTTTCTCTCCGTGCATGAGTGTACCACCAGTCCCATTGATTTTGTGCTTATAGCAGGAGGATGATCTATACCTCTTCTGGAGAGATGCTAGCTCTCTAGAGAGAACCACTGAGATTTCATGGGGGAATGTATCATAATTGCTATAAAATAGCAATTTATCTGCTAAATTCCCATTGACTGAGATAACACCTTGTCAGAAAAAAAGTGAATCTGCTATGATTTTCTGTAATGGCACTTCTGATATTTATGTATCCTTGTCTCTTGTATATCAGCCTTGTGATTACCTCCAGGTTAGAATGTAAAGGTGCATGATGTTTACAAATCAACCACTTTTTCCACAATTAACTTAGTGATGTTGACAAGGCCTGAGTCACAGAAAGTATGAAGTATCTTTGTTGTTAGGTTTCACATATTTGTATTAAAGCACAAGCATAAGTGTTGTCAGAAGCAGAGGTTATGTTGACCTGTTAAATATGCCCTGAAAATTTGATATGTTCACAAACACTAGACTGTTATCTCAGTTCTCACTTGAGCCAATCCTGTTTTCCTGTTGGTGCTTCTGTTAGCAAATACTCTTTGGAGTCAAACTCAACACAAGTTCATATGCCCCGCACTCCTGAATGAATTACTGAGCTTTGAACACCTAGTTGGTAGACAGAATACTAAGGAAAAAAGAAGACAGAAAAGGAAGGAAAAAGAAATCTATTTCTATAGAAATAGAACTCATTAAATTTGTTGCTTTTATCTGTGTCACAATTGTGGAAAATATATTTATAAAAGTAGTTTTTGGTTTTGCTTTAGCTTTACAAGCCAAAACTAGAAACAGCATTTAGACTCACATTTGATAGTCTATAAGTTATTTTTATGGCTGGCTTTACCACTTGTTTACATGACAGATCTCGCATACTAGGCATTTAAACATCAACCAACTACTGGCATTCAAAGGGCCTATTAATTTTAATTGTATTTATTTGTATGCCTCTAATAGTAACACCAGATAAAATTAATGCTGCTGAGATTGGTTTCTCCATCTAAAAATGAACTGTCTAAATTCTATTCATAAACAGTATAGACAGGCAACTTGGGGAAGAAAGTCATGCAGGCTGTCCTAAATGCTCTTGCCATGGAAGGGATGAATCACTCCCCAAAAATGTTTCTCTAGTGAGCACAGGAAGGGCCTTATTTTTGCTCATAATAATAAAAAAAAAAAATAGATCTTAGCATCTAAGTAACCAGGTATAAACAGAGAAGGGAAGAGAATGTCAGAGGTGGAATCTCTTGCCCAAGGATCCAAATATGTGGAGTGACAAAGCAAATAAAATGACCAGTCCTCAGCTTTCAGGCCAGTATTTTACTGCAAACCTTCCCTGCACCTTTATAGTCAGTGTGATCTATGCTATGGCAGTCAGTGGGAGAAGGATGATAGCCTGGATGGCCACCTGTAATGATTTAAATTTGGTAGGTTTATGTTTATCTGTTCAGAAGTCACTCCTATAGTTCACATATTTTTCAACCAGCACCCCATCACTCTGTGTTATTGACTGCCTGGGGAGCAGCATCAACCAAAGGAATGTCCCTCTCTAATGAAGCTTCTCACCTCACTAATGAAGCTTTTTTTGCATTGCAGTTGACCTGGACAGGTTGAATGATGATGTGAAGCGTTACAGCTGCACTCCAAGGAACTACTCTGTCAATTTAAGGGAGGAGCTGAAGCTGACAAACGTCGTTTTCTTCCCCCGCTGCCTCCTTGTCCAGCGCTGCGGCGGAAACTGTGGCTGTGGCACTCCAAACTGGAAATCCTGCACCTGCGTGACAGGGAAAACTGTGAAAAAGTATCATGAGGTATTTTCATTCTCTCTTTGTTACTTCTTTTGGGTATTTATTGCTTCCATGGATTCTGAAGTCTTTTCTCAGAGCTGTGTGTGCTGCTTGTTAAGAGACTATGTAGGTATGAGAAAGGGGTGTTGACAGTATTTATGTGTAAGTTAACTCAGAAGAAGTTGGAGAGAACTTTTGCCACCTCTGAGTGCCACCACAGTGAACTTTGAGAACCACTCATCCTAGTGAACTTTGTTTCAAGAATGAGCCTTATGTTAGACTGATTTTTCCCAGTCAAGGACTAATACAAAGTAAATATATATACCACTGGAAATACTCTTTTTAGTAGCACAGAGACATGGATTCCTTGAGATACTTGACTTCATTTCCTCTTTCTTTAAACTTATGCTCACACTTGGAAATTAAAATTAAGTCACTTATAGGAGGCAGCTGAATCATTCAGCCTTAGCTTTTTTTTCCCCACTCAGCAATTTTTCAGGAAAGCAAAATTTTTGCATAGGAACAATGCCCATTAGTTTAATCCATTCAGGATGCATCTAGAGAGGAAAAAACACAATGAAAGAGCATTTTGTATTCTTACCACTAACACAGTGTTTTCAGATGAAGACAAGACTGGAGAATAGTTAATATTTTCTCTAATTTTAAACAAGATGCAGGGGATGACCCTAGTAATTACAGAGTAGAAAGCCTTATCTCAGTGGTAGAAAAGTTAATTGGAAAAAAAATTAATAGTATAAAGCACCTAGATGACTATGAGCTGATAAAATTAACTCAGAATGCCTTATATGTGAATAAATATTTATACAGCACCACAATATTGTACAAGAATGTTAAAAGGACTGGCACCTCCTGCAGAGAGCAAACAGTCAGCCAGACAAGATCAGACATGGATTAGAAGCTGGTTAAGAGATAAAGAGCAACGAGGTGGAAGAGACAAGCGATTTTCTAAATGGGAAAGGGCTATCTGAGGGTGCCCCCAGTACAAAGGTTATTATTTCACATGTGTTCAGTCTGGAGGGAGGTGAACAGAGAGGTGGCAAAAATGACAGGTGATAACATACTTGAACAGGAGATAACATACTTGAACAGCAGAGAAGGCTGTGAGGAATTTCAGAAGGTCTTTGTAAATGCTTTTAAATGCAGGTTAGAAAAGCAGCAAGCATTAGTGTGAGACATCTCAACTATTCATTCATATAACTCTGGGTGAGTGAGGGGAGGAGGAAGAAATGAGGGGTGGAAATTGGGCTAAAGGTCAAGCAGTGAATCACTGTGAAGAGCTTCAGGAAAACAGTTTAGTGCAGTGATAAGAAAAAGACAAGTGACAGTCTTCTGCAGGAATGGAGATGAAGGGGTAATAACACAGTAAATATTGTGGTCTGGATAAATTGGTGGGGGACTTGACCATTGGTGCTTAAAAGGACAAAGGCAGGACTAGAAAAAATAAATAGAAGCAGCAAGCATACATCATGAGAGATGTAGGGGAAGATACAGATCAAAAACATATTTAAGGAAAGTGGCTCAAAAGTTTTGGATCATTTCATTTAGGAAAAAAAAAACTAAAGAGAGGACACCAAAAGATAGGAAATAATGAATAGTAGCTAAAGGAAAATTAGACCTTCCTAAGTAATCTTTTTGTTAAGAAAAGAACAACAGAGACACTGGAAGGAAACTAAATTAAAATTATAAAAAGGAATTGGGTTTTTTTTCACAGTAAATCTGTATGGAATTTCAACACTTAACTATGAGTTGTGCATAATGCAGAAGATTTCTGAAAGAACTAGAAGTCAAATATAAACTGAGGAATCCTGGCTTACAGCTGTATCAAAAAATTAAGTCAACTACTGACAGTAGCTAGAAAGAAAAGTGCTGTTATAAATATGTTGTAAAGGACTTCTTTAAGGTGTTTAGAAACAAGTATTGCTGGAATATCAGAATATCACACTAGCCAGGTATTGCTCAGCATCAGGATGTCATGACTTATGACTGCCCCAAATTAATAATGAAATTCAGGAAATTCAACATTCACACAAATATATCACTGCTAATTTATTTTCCTGCTCATTTCTACTCTGAAAATCATATGAATTCAAGACAGTGTTTTATCTTTAACATTAAATGGCCTTTATAAGTTTAAATTTAAATTTTATCCCTTAGGGATGAATTAACAGCTCACTGAGCAGATATTTAGTCTAGTGTCTCCCATTAACATGAGTGGAAGTCATGCAGATAAATTCATGTATGACATACTAAAGATGTGTCCATTAATTTTAGTCCAAAATGTTTTCCACTTTATTATTATTATTAGCCACACACAGTTAATCAGTTTTATTCTTATTCTCCTTTGACACTTTAATTTTACTTAAATACCAGGTGGAAAAGGCACTGAGGAGAGCCCTCTCCACATGCCAGTTTTAGAACTATAGAGCCAGTTTACTCTCTTAAAAGCCTATTTGAAACCCACTAACCTTATCCAAAGAGCGTTTACTTGCATAACGAAGGATGGAGCTTTACACTTATGAAATCCCCAGCACCATTAATTTGGTAAAAAAGCTCAGCCTCCTACTGCAGGAGGACATAGGCCAGATTCAAACACAAGTCTCAGTTAATTTGATTTACAGAAGACACCAGAAGGAAATACTAGGTGTTGGAGCAAAGAAGGTGTTTGAAGTATCTGAGACTTGAGACCTGCAGACCCCGGACCCCTTCTCCTGCCAGACTGATTTTCCCTATCCTGGAGCTTCTTCTGCTCAGCTCCTGAACCTGCAAGAGTTTTGTGTCCTGCACATGGATATGCTTGTCCTCAAAATGTAAAAGTGTCTCTGGAGATCACTTAAAAGTTCCTAGGCATTTCTGAGCTACCCAGTATTTCTATGTGAGAAAGACAGGCAAATTTTCCATAAGCAATAGGCTCATTTTTTGGCTTTGTAGCCAGTTCTGGAGTAGCTGCATGTTGGTAGCTGTGGGGACCTTAAAGTCCAGGGTTTCTTGAAAGAGAGGCTTCTAGTCCAGAGAGATTTCAAGGTTATCTTCTCCTTATGCTCTTACTGCTTTTTAGTTCCCTCTGAGTTCCTGTTCAAAGCCTCCCAGTGTAATCACTGAGCACTCTCTCCTAGCCTGGCCTCTCAGGACTAATAGCTGTCATGTGGAGCCTTTAATTTTCCCAAGCTGGAGAGTGCTGCTCCAGTTTCCTGAACGGAATGTACCGCTCTTCTCTATCATGTCTGACTGTAGGAAGTGATGCAAAAACAGGGAAAATGAGAACGTGAGATGGCCACAATAAGGGGTAGCTTTTTCCTTATTGCCCTGGGAGATGGTAATCATGAGATCTTTGGTCTTCTTTATAGCCTGGAAGTTTGCCCTGACTTTACCAAAATACTCAGCAGTTTTCAGAAATGAATGGGGTCATAACTTGGGTAAACAGATACTTTTATTGGTGGGGTTGGATTTTTTTTTCCCTTGCAGGAGTCTTGTGATGCTCTGTGGTTTTTCCATGGCTTCTGGGTTTGCTTTGGAGCAGAGCAAATACTCTGGACAAATATTCATGACTTACCACACAGTGTCACGAACCCTTGAAACCAAGCAAGCCAAGTCCTGGCAGTGTCTGAAAACGTCTCTCAGGCATAGTCTGCCATGAGTGATACTGAGTTATGTTGCAATGCTCTGTGCAAGGGAAGGACAAAGCAGTACATGGAAGTGGACTCAGCACACCTTAATCAAAGCTCAGCCCTACAACTGTCTAACTTTCTAGAGCAGACCCGATATAAAAATGTGCTTCCCATTGCAGTTAATTTCCTTAAAAATGCCTGGAGCTTCTCTTTAAAGAGGCACAGGCTCTAAACCTGGAGATTACTCAACAGAGAAGGTGTGGGGGAACTCAGGCCAGGACTCAGTTCAGCTGTGGCTGTGGCTGTGCGATCCAGCCAGCATGCACATATCTCAGAGAAACAAGAAATCAGTTTCCCCATCTCATTGCTGTAACTGATGAGATGTGAAATGAGTTTCCCTGGGGAATAAGTGCTCTTAAGGTAGCAACCAGAATTTGTCAGAATGTATAAAACTCTGCACACACAGTGCTGAGCTGCACACCTAAGGGACATAAAATGAAAAAAGAAAAGTGGTGATAGCTGACTGCAGCTTTTACCTACTTATCTGTCTCTCCTGTAAATCCTGATGTGTTGTCGACTGTCTATAAGGTGATTCTTCCCCCACCCCTTTTTGAAGCATTATGCCTCAATTCAAGTTTGATCTTGACTGTAGCTTGTCTGGTGCCTTCACAGGATGTAGATTCAGTTAATTCTCAGAGAGAAGGTTTTGATCAGTGTTAGGGTGGCAATTTCATAACCTTTGGTTGCTTTGAGAGAGGCAGTAGGTACCCCAGAGCACACAGTATTGTATCTTGACACAAATTGCTGGGGCATAAAAACAGCTTCAACTGAACCCAACAGTGCAAAGGGAAAACAAGACAGAGGGAATATTATACAGGAGAAAAGAACATGGGAGCACAATAGAGAATTAAAAAGTGAAACTTCAGTGAGACAAACTTACTGCAGTGGAGTTAAGAAATGTAACTAATACAACTGGATGCTGTCAGGACTTTTTTTTTTCTTTCATTTTTCGGAGAAATGAGAAGCAAACCTCAAGGAGGCACTTGAGAGAGAGGACAATAATTCTCAGCCTATCCTTACACAGGGAAACATAAGAAAACTGGTCAAAAAATGATCCAAATGCTGCTGACAGAACAAAGGAAAGTTGCAAAGGGATTAAAAAGAGCTAGAATCATCAAAGCAGTGTGCAAGGAATATGGTCTGATTGTTGTATGTCCTGGAGTTGATAGTACATGTATAAAGGAGATAAAAGGTTGTTATGGTAATAAAGGCATAGAATTAGTCTGACAAAAGAGTTAATTTGTGGAATATTGTACAAGAAGCAGCAATGGGATTTATTTGGAATGCAAGTACGAGGAAAAAAATGAGTCAGAAATTACTGCTAGGTCACGGGATGAG